GGGAAAGTTATCCCCAACCCTCCTGCGTTGGGTTCTCGTTTTGAGTTTTGAATAGAGCTCTGCTCGCGCGTCTCCTTCCTTACTTCCCGCCCCCTCCCGTCCCTCTCTTCCCCCCTGCCTTCGACCTCGCCATCCCTGGGGGGCTGCGATCTGTGAAACTGTCGCCACTTTCGAGGCCTGCTGAGGGGCCCAGCGCATTGGGTACTCACCGCGGATTCAAACTAGACCTCGCCATCCCTGGGGGGCTGCGATCTGCGAAACTGTCGCCAGTTTCGAGGCCTGCTGGGGGGCCCAGCACAGTGGGCATTCACCGCGGATCCAAACTAGACCTCGCCATCCCTGGGGGGCTGCGATCTGTGAAACTGTCGCCACTTTCGAGGGCTGCTGGGGGGCCCAGCACAGTGGGTACACACCGCGGATTCAACCTAGACCTCGCCATCCCTGGGGGGCTGCGATATGTGAAATTGTCGCCACTTTCGAGGCCTGCATGGGGGGGCCAGCACAGTGGGTACCCACCGCGGATTCAAATTAGACCTCGCCATCCCTGGGGGGCTGCGATATGTGAAACCGTCGCCACTTTCGAGGCCTGCTGGGGGGCCCAGCACAGTGGGTACTCACCGCGGATTCAAACTAGACCTCGCCATCCTTGGGGGGCTGCGATCTGTGAAACCGTCGCCGCTTTCGAGGCCTGCTGGGGGGCCCAGCACAGTGGGTACTCACCGCAGATTCAAATTAGACCTCGCCATCCCTGGGTGGCTGCGATCTGTGAAACTGTCGCCGCTTTCGAGGCTTGCTGGGGGGCCCAGCGCAGTGGGTACTCACCGCGGAGTCAAATTAGACCTCGCCATCCCTGGGAGGCTGCGATTTGTGAAGCTGTCGCCACGTTCGAGGCCTGCTGGGGGGCCCAGCACAGTGGGTACCCACCGCACACTCACACTAGACCTCGCCATCCCTGGGGGGTTGCGATATGTGAAATTGTCGCCACTTTCGAGGCGTGTTGGGGGGGCCAGCACAGTGACGCCACACGCAGATTCAAACTAGACCTCGCCATCCCTGGGGGGGCTGCGATCTGTGAAACTGTCGCCGCTTTCGAGGCCTGCTGGGGGGCCCAGCACAGTGACGCCACACGCAGATTCAAACTAGACCTCGCCATCCCTGGGGGGCTGCGATTTGTGAAATTGTCGCCACGTTCGAGGCCTGCTGGGGGGGCCAGCACAGTGGGTACCCACCGCACACTCACACTAGATCTCGCCATCCCTGGGGGGTTGCGATATGTGAAATTGTCGCCACTTTCGAGGCCTGCTGGGGGGCCCAGCACAGTGGGTACCCACCGCAGATTCAAATTAGACCTCGCCATCACTGGGGGGCTGCGATCTGTGAAATTGTCGCCACTTTCGAGGCTTGCTGGGGCGCCCAGCACAGTGGGTACCCACCGCAGACTCAACTTAGACCTCGCCGTCCCTGGGGGGCTGCGATCTGTGAAACTGTCGCCGTTTTCGAGGCCTGCTGGGGGGCCCAGCACAGTGGGTACCGACCGCAGACTCAAATCAGACCTCGCCATCCCTGGGGGGCTGCGATATGTGAAGCTGTCGCCACTTTCGAGGGCTGCTGAGGGGCCCAGTACAGTGGGTACCCACCGCAGACTCAAATTAGACCTCGCCATTCCTTGGGGGTCTGCGATATGTGAAACTGTCGCCACTTTCGAGGCCTGCTGGGGGGCCCAGCACAGTGGATACCCACCGCAGGCTCAAATTAGACCTCGCCATCCCTGGGGGGCTGCGATCTGTGAGACTGTCGCCACTTTCGAGGGCTGCTGATGGGGCACAGCACAGTGGGTACCCACCGCAGACTCAAATTAGACGCCGCTTCGTCCTTGTTCTCCTCCTGCAGTCACCTTCCCTCTGCTGCTGCCGTGCTGATGGTTCGGCTTCCCGCACGTTTTTCTCCTACTCTGCGTTCCCGACTCCCCATGTCCTCTTCGAGCCTTTAGCTGTCGCCCCTCGTCCTTGTATGGTTCTCCTGCGCATCATGCCATAGGCGCGTTTCCCAAGTAGCTTACACATCAAGTTGATTGTCCATGCAAGTTTCTGCCAACTCCTCGTGTCCATTGATACAAATGGGTTGGGTACGTCACAGGGTATTTTTTCCTGCTCTGGAGAAGGAGTGGCGCCTTTGGGCAGCTCCCGCGAGGTGGATTCGTAGTGTGGGGTGTGCGCGCGAATTTGGTGTAATTTGCAGGGGATCGTGGCCTCGGGGACGCGACTGTGGTGTAGTTTACAAGGGATCGTGGCCTGGGGGGCGCGACAGCGGCGTAATTTACGGGGGATCGTGGCCTCGGGGGCGCGAGTGTGGCGTAATTCGCGCGGGATCGTGGCCTCGGGGGCGCAAATGTTGCGTAACTTACGAGGGATCGTGACCTGGGGGGGTGAATGTGGAACCCACCGCCGAATTTTCCAGAAAGGGGGGGGGGGCGAAAGAATACCAGCGGAGCACATATCCCAATACAGAAAATTACAGTTTTTTGCTTTGGAGATGGGGGCGCCTTTTCGGCAGTCTCCGCAAGCCGGATTCGTAGCCTCTGGGGCGCGCCTGCTGTGTAATTTACAAGGGATCGTGTCGCCAGGGGCGCGAATTTGTTGCAATTTACAATGGAACGTGGCCTCGGGGGCGCGAACATGAAGTAAATTACATGGGATCGTGGCTTCGGAGGCGCGACTGCGGTGTAAATTACGAGGGATCGTGGCCTCGGAGACGCGAAAGTGGTGTAATTTACAAGGGATCGTGGCCTCGGGGGCGCGAATACAATGTAATTTGCAAGGGATTATGGCTCCGGGGGCACGAAACTTTTGTATTTTTGCGTGTCCTACGCCCCCCCAAAACTTTTGAGAACCCTCTTAGGGGGTGCTAACCAGGGTCCTTTTCGGCTCCCCCCCTCGCGCGGACAGTAACAATTTACAATAGGAAGCAGAAAGCAGTACTGTAACAATAGAAACTGGAAACTGGAACTGGCACAGGGAGCAGCAACCTTAACCCTCGCAGCCTGATGGCCCCGCAAGGGGGCCGGCGGATTGTTATTATTATTATTCTTGTTCTTCTTTTTCTGTTTCTTCTTCTTGGGCGTCCGACATGGGTGCGGAGCAAAAGTGGGTACAATGCCGCACAACAAATGCAGTCAACCTGCTAAGTAAGGACAGGCAACCTTCCCAAGAGTACCCTTGCATCCTCGCCTCCTCAGTGCATCCTTGGCCATTTTTGTCGGCCGCGCCCCGCTCGAACAGCTTCGAAGAGGCACTCCAAAGCCCTTGCATCCTTATCCCGCATCCTTACTATACGGGATGGTTGTACAATGCCGCACAACAAATATTGTCCAAAACCGGCAGCGGCCGCTGTTGGGCAGGCGGTCCTTCGTTTTTCAAGAACAACGTCCGCGGCGGCGCGGACAGCGAGTCTTGTTCAACAGGAACTGGAATTGCCGTTGGACATTTTACCCCGTCTTTTCGCACTCAGTCCGGCATGCATCGGCAGGATTTGTCGGCATGCTGCAGTGTCCCACCCGTCCTGGGCGGAGGATTCAGACGAGATGGGCATGAAACCAATACGCGTTGGTCGTTGAAAGTACGTATTTTTGTTGATCCCCATCTCAACCTTTTTGAGGCGCCTTCCTACTTCAAGAGTCGAGCGGTTTTTCCTCGTCCCTCCTCTTCAGGGGGCGGGCGGAAGCGCGCAATCTACAGTGGAACCCCATGCCAAGAAACACCCTGCTTGCCTCCAGGGTGCCCTGAATTTCTTGGATTTCTATGGTTTTGCGATGGAAAGTGTGACGTGCCCACACCAAAAATCAATGGACGTCCTGGGGTCTCAGGTTTGGGCTTCTTGTGGACGTTTTTTGTGGTCCAGTTCCTGCTGTACCTGCTTGTTCCCGCGAGCGGGAGGCCAGCAAGAGGAACGGTGCACCGCAACATGGTGCGGCAGCACGCGGCAGCATCGAGCAGCACGTGTGTGCAGCTTTCGTTTTTGCAGACTCTTTGCGGATGGGACCACCTCTTCGGGAGGAGGAGGAGGAGGAGGAGGAGGAGGAGGGGAGGAGGAGGAGGAGGGAGGAGGAGGGGGAGAGGGGAGGGCAGGAGGGGGAGGAGGAGGTTGCCCTGCGCGATCTGGCCTGCTGGCCTGCACCTGGCGGAGGCCCCTGCTGGCCTGCACCTCGGGGGAAGTCATCGTGGCACCCGGCCTTTTTGTTCGTCCTCCTTGCCTCCTCCTTCCTCCTCCTTCCTCCTCCTCCTCCTTTTCCTCCTCCTCCTCCTCCTCCTCTCCTCCTCCTCCTCCTCCTCCCTCCTCCTCCTTTTTCTCCTCGTCCTCCTCCTCCTCCTCCTCCTCCTCCTCCTCCTCCTCCGTTTCGGCTCGCCTCGCGCTTTCCGTCGATCCCCGCCTCTGCGGCTGCCCTCGTCTCCTCCGCCCCTCGCTGGTGCGCCTGCCGTGCCAGCTCGCCCCGCCGGCCCGGTGACGCGCTGGCCACCGCTGGCGCTGCGGACAGGAAAAGGCTCCCTTCGGAGAGGCTCGAGGAGCATCCGAGGAGGAGGAGGAGGAGGAGGAGGAGGAGAAAGAGTTGGAGAAGGAGGAGGAGGACGAGGACGAGGAGGAGGAGGAGGAGGAGGAGGAGAGGAGGGACGAGGACGAGGACGAGGAGGAGGAGGAGCAGGAGGAGGAGGAGGAGCAGGAGGAGGAGGAGGAGGAGGAGGAGAAGGAGGAGGAGGAGGAGTTGAAGGAGGAGAGGAGGACGAGGACGAGAGAGGAGGAGGAGGAGGAGGAGGAGGAGGAGGAGGAGGAGGAGGACGAGGAGGAGGAGGACGAGGACGAGGACGAGGAGGAGGAGGAGGAGGAGCAGGAGGAGGAGGAGGAGGAGCAGGAGGAGGAGGAGGAGGAGGAGAGGCCTGTAAGAGCTCAAACAAGCGCTGCGGAGAGAAAACGACCGGAGCTCTCGCGCTCGCGGGATCCGCGCCGAGGCGGTCGTGCCCAACGTGATCACCTACAACGCGCTCATCAGCGCCTGCTCGCGGTGCGGGGAGATTCGCCGGGCACCCTCCCTGCGCCGCGTCTCGCGTGGAGCTTGAACCGTGGGGCCACGGAGGGGGGCGAACAGCCCAGGGGCGGGCATTGCACATACCCCTCTGGGAGCCTTGCCCGAACCGTGCACCATCGGCGCCCTTGGATGCATCTACTGCTCCCCCCTTGGCCATTCGCCCTTAACGTCGCCGCCGACTGGAGCACAGGAGAGTTTGGCCAACCTCTGCGAATCATCGCTGCGATGCGAGAACGGTGACGGTGACTGGCGCTGTCGACGACGACGACGACAACGATGAGGACGGTTTTTTCGGATTGCGTTGCTGAGCATTTCTCGGTGTTATTGACGACGGACTTATGGTTTTGCATTGGCCCTCCCTCGGTGTGGGTGGAGGCTTGTCCTGTCGTTGCATTCTGCGGCACGGGAGCTCCCTGGCCGTATACCTCTAGCAATCTGGCCAAGGTTCCATCTCTCGTCCTTGGTCTGCGGCTTGCACGGATTGGCCAGGTTGCTGAGGGTATCCGCAGTTGCTGCAGAAAATCGGGTTCAGATCGTGGGCCGCAATGATGCGGCTCGGATGGGGAAATCGCTCCCCCACTTGGAGCCTCGAGTGGGGCGACGACGACGACGATTACGACGACGATGACGATGACGACGATGACGATAACGATGACGACGACGACGAGGACGATGATGATGATGATCATGATGATGATGATGATGATGATGATGATGATGATGATGATGATGATGGCAATGATGATGATGATGATGATGATGCTGATGACGACGATTGTGCTGCTGCTGATGATGAGGATGATGATAGGATGGTGATGATATGATGGTGATGATGATGCTGGTTGTGCTGATGATGATGCTTATACTGCTGGTGATGACGAGGGTTAACATGATGATGCTGATGATGATGTTTATGATGGTGATGCTGATGGTCATGACGATGATCATGATGACGACGATGATGATGATGATGACGATGCTGATGATGCTGATGATGATGGTAATGGTATGGTGATGGTGATGATGACGACGACGATGATGAAGACTATGATTAGGAGGAGGAGATGGGCGATCATGTTAATGATGGCGGCGAAGATGATGGTGGTGGTGACGATGGTTGATGATGTTAATATTGTTGGCGATGATGGTGATGATGATGTTGACAATGATGATTCTGATGGTGACGGTGGTGATGATGATGGTGATGGTGATGCCGGGTATGATGGTTGTGCTGCTGCTGATGATGATGGTGGTGGTGGTGATGATGATCATGATGCTGCTGATGATGATGATGACGATGACGATGATGATGATGATGATGATGATGATGATGATGATGATGATGATGATGATGTTGGTGATGACGATGGTGATGTCGATGGTGATACAAATGCTGATGCTGGTGCTGCTGAAATGAAGAGGGCGATGATGGTGACAATGATGACGGTGCTGACGAACGTGTGTGTGGTGACGAAGGTGATTATGTTGATGAAGGGTAATGTTGATTGAAATGGTGATGACGATGTCGATGCTGTCTATGAGCGTGATTATGCATACTACTACAGATGATTATGGCGACGAGGAGGAGGAGGAGGACGATCTGGAGAATTGAGAGGAGAAGGAGGAGGAGGAGGAGGAGGAAGAGGAGAAGGAGGAGAAGGGGGTGAAGGGGATGATAAGAGGCTCCCATGAACTACCCACTCAAGATTGCCGACGCTCTCACGATTCTTCCACCACCACCGCGCCGTCTTTCGGCGCCTTAGACTGTCGAGGGGCTCTCTAAGGCCGTCTTGAGCCCACCCGGAGGCCCTCCTGGGCCCGCTTTGAGCCCTCTTGAAGGTCATCCTGGGCTGTCTAAGGGCTCTCTTGGGCTATCTTGAGTCCTCCCCCATCGTTGCTCCCCTCCTCCTCCTCCTCCTCCTCCTCCTCCTCCTCCTCCTCCTTCTCCCTCTCCTCCTCTCCCTCCTCCTCCCTCCCTCCTCTCCTCCTCCGCCTCCTCCTCCACCTCCCTCCCTCCTCCTCCACCTCCACCTCCACCTCCACCTCCCTCCCTTCCTCCCAGCCGCCGTCCCGGATCGAGGCGTTGGGTGCGCTACCAGGTAGCGCGAGCCTCTCACGGGTCGGGCGGCCACGCGCGCTGGCCCCCGCCCGCGCAGGGCGACCTGGGCCTGGCCGCGCCTCGCCGCCGCTCGCCGCCATCGCCAGTGCCTGGGCGGCCCTGGCTCGGCGGCACGCCGCGCGGCGACAGCAGTGCCTGCTCGTCCCCGCGGCCCAGAGGCCGAGGAGCGGAGCCCGCGTGGCACCGCCGCGCCCGCCAAGCCAGGTCGCACGCCAGGATCATCCTGCGACTGGCATCGGCGGCGCGGCTGCCCGGTGCCCACCACAGTTCTGGCCCCGCAATGCAGTCGGCAAGGGTCGTGGCAAGGGTGGCGGGCGGACAGGAGCATCGGGAGGGAGTTCTACTCGTCACCAGGCGCCGTGGCACTCAGCAGTGCCGCCTCCCCCGCCTGGCTGGTGGTGTGATGGATGCGGACACTGCCACCCTCCGCATGTGCTGCTGTGCCCGACCTGCTACCTTCAGCGAGGAGCCAATCCAAAAATCCCTCCCTCCCTTCCTCCCCCCCGCCCTCCTCGTCGTCGTCGTCGTCGTCGTCGTCCTCCTCCTCCTCCTCCTCCTCCTCCTCCTCCTCTGGCTCCTCCCGCGCCCCCTGGCCGCGGGCGTGGCGCTCCCGCCAGGCCCCGCGGGGGCCTGCCTCGGTGAGCGCCCCCCGCCGTCGCTGTCGCTGCCGCGCCCCCCTCCCCTGCCTCCCCTCCCGCTCATGCTCCGGGGCCTCCCGCCCTGCAGCCTCCCGCTTCCCTCAGGAGGAGAAAAAACACCCAGACACAATTCATCGTCGATTCCCCAGAAGTCAGCATCGGCGCCCAGGATGGATTTGGACTAGGGGACGGCGGCACTTGTCGGACCACCTTCGCCCACCTGAATGGCTTGTTGCGGCAAGATGCTACCCGATTTGGTTTAAACGTTCGAGGCGATTGAAATTCATTTGTTCTCGTGGACAGCGGGGCCAAGCAACATGCTGCTTTGACAGTCGGGGGGAACTGGGAAAGATGGACCACTTGCTGCGTCGTCGCGATTGGCTGACCCATTCAACGACGCCAGGTCCAGCGTGCCGCCCCTCCTTTTTCGATGCCATGCTGGGCGCATCGCCCCGACGATCCTGGAAGTAGGACCGCACTCAGGATGGACAAAACACGCAGACACAATTCATCGTCGATTCCCCCGAAAATATGGGAAAATATTGGCAGTGGGGGGGAAAACAGAAACCCAGAAAATATTGGAGAACATGGGAGAATCTTTTTACCGCCCCAGGCATGATCGCATCGAATAAGAAATCGGGACGGGAGGTTTTGGGCCATGTTCGGCCCCCGGGGGGCCTCGCCAGGCCTCGGGGACCGTCAAACATCGACTCGGGACGACGAGCCGGTCCCGTGAGAAGGGGTCGGGGCTTCCAGGGAGGACGCCGCCCCGACAAAAGTCGGGACGTCGCACGTCTGGGAGAAGACCCCTCGTGCGAGCCAGCGCTCCGCGGGGTGTTTTGGGGGGCCGCGGCGGCCTCGCGCGCCCTGCGCACACGGGCACGGGCGCGCTCGCCTCGCCGCAGTCCGCCTGGCCCGGCGTCCCACTCGCTCGCGCCCTCGCGCCTCACCCCCCCTGACCCCCGCGTCGTGTTTTCCTCGGCGTGGACCTCCAGGCCCCTTCCCTGGGACAGGTGTTTCTCTTAACCCGCGCAGTTCCGAAATTGAGGCTACTGCAGCTGATGTTCCTCCATGTGTTCACGAGCGGCGAATGTGTATACCCACATATATATACATATATATATATATGTCTGTCTGTCTGTCTGTCTGTCTGTCTGTCTGTCTGTCTGTCTGTCTGTCTGTCTGTATGCATGCATGTATGCATGTATGTATGTATGTATGTGTGTATGTATGTATGTATGTATTTATGTATGTATGTATGTATGTATGTCTGTGTGTGTGTATGCATGCATGCATGCATGCATGCATGCATGTATGTATGTATGTATGTGTGTATGTATGTATGTACGTATGTACGTATGTACGTATGTACGTATGTACGTATGTACGTATGTACGTATGTGCGTATGTACGTATGTACGTATGTACGTATGTACGTATGTACGTATGTACGTATGTACGCATGTACGCATGCACGCATGCACGCATGCACGCATGCACGCATGTACGTATGTACGTATGTATGTATGTATGAATGAATGCATGAATTAACGAATGAGTGCATGCATGTATATATGTATGTATGTATGCATGTATATGTATTTGTATGTATATGTGTATATATATAAATATATGATATAGTCGCGCCCTCGCGATCTGGATTGCAGGGCGCGGTCCTACGGAGACGCGGCCACACAGATACGTTCCGCGTGGAGCGTTCGCGAGTTGTATTTGCGGGGTCGCAGCCCAGAGTCCCTTGTCCTTAGCGTCTTGCACTTTGCTGTCGATCATCTGCTCGATTTGCTCTTTTGTTAAGTAAAGGTCCTCCAGGTCATTCCGAATTCCTTCCACCTGCATTTCCACATCCTCCATCTTCTCCTGAACCTCCTCCGCTGCCCTCCTTGCATCCTGAGCCTCGATCCTCGCCTGGTCAATCACGCCCTTTATGCTGGTCACCTCTTCCTTCAACGAGTCGAACTGTTTTGCCTGGATCTTGAGAAATTCCTTGAACCATGGTGGGGCTTCGCTGAGATACCCATCTTCCATGTTTGTATCCTCAAGCTGTTTCATGTCTTTATCTCGGCGTCCTGTCTTTTTATCCGGTGTCGAGCCTGTCGCGGTTCCCCCGCGTTTCGCCATCTTCCCAATTATGCTGTGTACACTCCAGGCAGACAGAACAGAAGAGTTATAATCAGGTATGTGCGCACAACCGTCGCAACAGCCTCGGCCTTGAGCCAGCCTTGAGCTTGAGCCAAGGAGGCTTGAGCCAAAATGGCTACGGCCAAGGAGGCTTGAGCTTGAGCCAAGGAGGCTTGAGCCAACAACAGTGACCTCCCCAGGAGCGGTGCATGGCAGCGTAATGGGACGGAGGGAGGGGGAAAGGCAGATGCAGAGAAGCATATACGGGATAAGCAGGTTGTTGCCTTCGGCTTCGATGGGAGTGGTTCGGCAGAGCAGGTGGTGGAGGATCTGAAAAACTTGCTCAACCAGATTGTGGGCGAAAGGTCGGGCGCAGTTGTGCTGACCACGACGGGCTCCACGAAGTTCGGCGTAATCGAGTTCACTTCCATCCAATCGAAGGTAAGCTTCTGGAAGAAGGTACGGGACAAGCTGAACGACGACGAAGATGCGTTCGGCGAGGTGTTCTTCCGGAACAACCTGACCACCGAGGAGAAGGACCGGGAAAAACGGATGGGCTATACAAAGTACCATTTGTCCAAACACCCCGACCACAAAACCAAAGATGTGAAAATCATATGGCCGAATGGGATGGTTGTGGTCAAAGAGGGTGAGGGGAAGGAGAGGAAAATTGCGTGGTACGATGAACATGGAGACTGGCGTACTACTAAGACCGGGAAGGCGGTGGAAGCGGCGGTGGAAGAGTCCATGCGGAAGTGGCGGGAGAAGGTGAACGCCGGACCTGCCGAAGAGAGCGAGGGACGCCGCGACGGCGGCACAGGCTGGCAGAGCCAAACTGCCAACAGTACCATAACGAGCTCAGCACCTACATGGTCATGCAAAGCAGGACCCTTCACTCAGGCTTCAGAGCTTGAGAAGCCAGGAGACCTTGGGAAAACGGTTACAAAACAGATGTTTGGAGAATGTCGCTCTGATGTTTTACTTTCAAGTTCAATGCCATCTCGGTCTATCGGGGGTGGTAGGGGGTCATATGCGTGTGTAGATGGAGACTTCCCTGCAGGATCCCTTAAGCCTCCCAGGAACTACTCAGCTGCCAATCCCAAGGACGCATCGCCGACAACCCGGATAGGCGTTACGACGGGAACTTTTGTTGATGGAGATTCAGACGGACAGGCGTTACGACGGACAGGCGTTACGACGGACAGGCGTTACGACGGACAGATGTTACGACGGGACCGCGCACAGATGCAGGTATGGATCTTTTGTTTATGCTTATCTACACCAAAAACGTACATTCGTTACAAACCACGCTTCGGGAGGAGGAGTTGTTTATGGAGCTGCAGTGTGTCGAATGGGGCGTGGTTCTACTTACTGAAACGTGGCGCGATAAGAGACAAGAAAGATGGAGGAATGAGGATGGTCATATGTTTTGCGGTTCCGGCGGGCTGCGGGGACAAAGCGGGACAGGGATATTACTACATCGACGGTGGTCGCGGGGATTCCGCGCTTTCCACCCAGTCTCCGACAGAGTCTGCGCACTAGACGTTCGCATTTCCAACAGAAATGTCAGATTTATTTGCGTGTACATGCCGCATTGTGGATGCGACGACGAGGATGTAGAGGCGATTTATTTGCATCTTGATCGATTGGTACGCGGGGCCCGGCGGAAAAATATAATGTGTTTATTACTTGGGGACTGGAACGCTACAGTTGGCACACGCAGCACTGGAGATGACGATCACATTGTTGGAGAGTACGGAGTGGGATGCCGAAACGACCGGGGACACTGGTTAGCTGGATGGGCAACCACACATCAACTTACGATCGCAAATACGATGGTAAACAAGAGCTTCGAAGACCAATGGACGTACCAGAATGATGGCATCAAGCGGCAGCTGGACTACTGCTTGGTGGATGCACGGCGCACGCATCTCATCAAGGACGCGGCGGCGAGCGATGATGTGATTCTTGGGCAGGACCATCGTGCCTTCAAGGTCACTTTGAAGTGGGATTTTCAGCCAGAAGGGGACATGAGCAAGAAACGACGGTCTAATAGGCAAAACTTCCGGAGATGGAGGCCGAGAGACGAGGAGGAGTACCACAAACAGCTTGATGCGCAGTTGGCGCCCCTAGCAGCGATCGACAATCCCAGCCAGGCATGTTCCGAGATCGAAGATAGATGCCGTCAAATTGAAAATGTACTGCTTGATGTTGCGGAGGCTTGCGATGAGAGGGAACAGTTCCAGGCTCTAGAAAGCGAGACTGCAAGGAAACAGCTCCATACTTTGATTGCGCGACGGCGGTCAGCAAGACAGAGCGGAAACAAGGACGAGGTGAAGAATGCGAGTAAGCTGATTCGTAAGGAGATCCGTGCAATGGCCAGGGCGCGGAAGAGTTCCAGGATAACGCAAGTTTTGAAAGAGTTCGAAGATTTGCAGCGGATCCAAGGTATACGTAACAACGGAAAGAAGTATTGCATGTCTTCGGTCCTAGACGCCGGGGGTAAAGAGCAGACGCAAGCGCGAGATATAGCTGAAGTGTTTGCTGCATTTTTTGAATCTTTGTACAATGGCAAAAGCGACGTATTTCGATGTGATGCTACTTGCGATCGTGCCGCTGCTGTCACGCCGGAGGAAGTGCGCCGCCAACTGAAGAAGATGCGCGGGGGCAAGGCTGCAGATGAAAACGGCTTGGTGGCTGAATTCTTGTGCAAAGGGAGCGAGCTGTTGATGCAGATGATAGCAGGCGTTTACACGGCTGTATTGGACCCGGGGGCCACCGTGCCAGCCTACTGGAAGGCATCCTCAATCAGAGTCCTTTTCAAGAAAGGGGACGAACGTCTACCGGGGAATTACAGACCAATATGCATTATTCCACTATTGTATAAGCTTTTCAGCAGAGTATTGTGCGGAAGGATCAAGGACAAGCTTGTTGCGGAGCAGTCTGTCGACCAAGCTGGTTTCAGACCGGGCTTCAACTGTGACGACCATTTATTCGCAGTCACACTATTAGCAGAAAAATGTAATGAATACAACATGCCGCTGTGGATTGCGACGCTGGATTTTAAAAAGGCTTTTGATTCCATATCTCATTCGAGCATTTGGGAGTCTTTGGTGGCTCACGGAGTACCGTCTGTCTACGTATGCATGCTCTCCAGACTGTATAGCGGGCAACGGGCGCACGTCAACTGCGACGTCACGAGCCGCGACTTCGACATCTTAAAGGGGACGAAACAAGGCGATCCCATAAGTCCGGTTATTTTCAACTGTGTGCTGGAGGAGGTAATGCGCAAGGTGAAAACACAATGGGCTGCCAGAAAGTACGGCGTGCAGCTTGGTTACACAGGACATTCTGTTTTAACCAATTTGAGGTTTGCAGATGACATTTTGCTTGTCGGCCGCTCCCTACCACAGCTCAAAAAAATGATTGCGGACGTGAAGCGAGAGAGTGCGAAAGTCGGGCTGGAGCTCCACCCGGACAAGACGAAGATACAGCACAACAACATTGGTTATGGCAGCAAAGTCAGATTGGCGGTGGTAGAAGGGATGAATATCGAAGTCATGGAGCCCACGGAAACCAATATGTATTTAGGCAGGGCGCTTACGCTTCTGGCCGTCCACGACGCTGAGCTGACGCACCGACTGAAGAGGGCGTGGGCTAAGTTCGGCACCTTCAGGCACGAGCTGACTGACAAAGCAGTGCCGATTGGTCTTCGGATGAAGCTTTTCCATTCCGTGGTCACCCCGACAGCGCTGTATGGTTGCGGCAGCTGGGTAATGACAGCGGAACGAGATTCAAAACTGAAAGGGACACAGCTCAAAATGGTCCGGGCTATGTTGGGGCGGGGACGAGTGTACAGGCAGGACGGGGACGTGGAGACATGGTTAGATTGGGTACAGCGTGTGACGACGGAGGCGCGCCACTGGATGGAGGAACGCCACGTACCCTGCTGGACGGAGGAGCGCCGATCCCGGCTGCAGGGCTGGAGCGAAAGACTCAATGGCATGAGCTACGTCCGGTGGGCCCGGCGAGTCCACGACTGGACACCTAACGGGCGGAGAGCCCGCGGGCGCCCTCTGACACGATGGGCTGACCAATTACGCTGAGCCCGTGAGGGCACGTAGCCGCGCGCGCGCAGCTCGTTTTCAGCGACCGTTCCGTTCCGTTCAGCCCAGAGTCCCGGCCCGTGAGGCCGCGGATATGGATATGTTTTTCGCCCCTCATCCCTTCCCACTTCTCCTTCACCACTTCTCATTCCCCCCTGCTGCTCCGTCTCCAGCCTCGACGCTTCTGGGCGACGCGTCAATGTCAAGTTTCTTCGCTGAGGCTGCTCCACTGTGCTTGCCTACTTGGCGCCCGCGCAGAGCTCCTCAATCCCACGAAGTAGTCTGCTAGTTGCAGTGCCGGCCTCTGTTGACAGGCTCTCAGCTCCATCAGCGTCTCGATTCAACAAAGATCCGTCTCCCTCCTCCCTCTATCCCTCGCCCCCTTCCTCCCCCCATTCCTCTATCCCTCCCTCCTCCCTCCCTCCCTCCCTCTCTCCCTCCCTCCCTCCCCCTCCTTCCTCTATCCCTCTCCTCCCACCCGCCTTCTCCCTCCCTCCCCCCTACTGCTGCCGCTGTTCCTCCCTGCGCCACCGCGGGGCGGGGCCGAGCACTCCCCTGGCGAGCGCGCGCGCGCGGGGCAGGATCCCGAGCGGGCGCTGGAGCTCGTGGAGCAGATGCAGGTGGCCGGGCTCGGTGGGAGGGTCGGCGCGTGGTGGGCCCCAGAGGCGGCAGGGCCGTTTGCTTACCGCTTCCGACCGGCAGAGAGCCTCTTGAAAACGGAGGCGGCAAAAAACAAACGACCGGAAACGGCAACTACAGACGGTGGAGGGGGGGAGGTGGATGATACCCCCGCGCCCCGCCGCGTCCCTTTTCTTGCGCGTCGCCAGCTGCCAGTTGGCGAGTGGGCAATCAGGCTGACCATTCCTGGCACCCGGCTCCAGGATTGGAGCCGGAGCCGAAACCGGTAGCAAGAACGGCGGCGGAACCGGTAAAAGAAGCGGCGTCGGAGCCATCAACAAATCTGCGAAATTGAGCCGGTAGCAAAAGCGGCCCTGTCGGTTCCAGGGCCCCCGAGGGGTCGGCGGCGATGGCCGCCCCCGCAGAGCGGCGCACCCTGCCCAGAGGAGGAGGAGGAGGAAGAGGAGGAGGAGGAGGAGGAGGAGGAGGAGGAGGAGGAGGAGGAGGAGGAGGAGGAGGAGGAGGAGGAGGAGGAGGATGGAGGAGGAGGAGGAGGAGGAGGAGGAGGAGGAAGAGGGAGGAGGAAGAGGAGGAAGAGGAGAAGGAGGAGGAGGAGGAAGAGGAGGGAGGAGGAGGGAGGAGGAGGGACGAGGATGAGGGAGGAGGAGGAGGAGGAAGAGGAGGAGGAGGAGGAGGAGGAAGAGGAGGAGGAGGAGGAAGAGGAGAAGGAGGAGGAAGAGGAGGAGGAGGAGGACCAGTGTAAAGCCCAAGAGTCATCAACGATGTTGAAATGAACCCTCCCTCCAAGCTCCTGCTTCAGAGGCCCCTGGAACGGTTCATTTCCATTGAGGTAATTGCTTCGTTGGAAGGTAACCGCTCGAAACCATTGAAACATTCCAAGACATTGTTCTCGGGATGGCCACGCCACGGGTCAAGCTGACTGCTGCTTCCTGACGATCTGGAATCGTGCCAGAAGGCCATTCTTGGGACCGTGGAACTTTTGCGATTTCACATTTTGAAAAGGAACCGCCCTCAATCCGCGAAATTCTTGCAAGTTTTTGAAACGAATGTGCGCGGCCCGAACGCTCTCAGATCGCTCCGGATCGTTCTGAGAAGGCCGCGCCCGAGACATCCTGCAGAGCCGCTGGACCTAAGATATTCTCGATGTATCCTTAAGTCGGGTCTGTCCCTCTACAGGGGGGATATTCAAAAATAGGCAAGACATAGTGTGGGGACGATTTTTCAAGTATTTGTGATTATTTTTGAGCATTTTGGGGGGGTCTGATTTTTCGCCCAAAATCCCCCTGTAGGGGGACACGCCCGACCTAATGTTATCCTTGTCCTGGCTTCGTCCCGATGCCGATGCTACTACCCCTCCCTCGTTTCCGCCTTTTTGGGCCTCCTGGGAGGCCCTCGTCGCCACCGCTGGGTTCGCCTCGAAATCCTGGTCAGAACTTGGAATCCACTGCCCCTCTGTTGTGGGACAGTTCTTTAGGACGGGCCGCGGAGGGCAAAGGGTCACAGTTTTGAGGAATCCGTGAATTGAGTATGGGTCGCATTCGTAATGCGTCAACGAAGGCGCGCATGCCCCAAACACAAACCTATGCTGCATATAAGGACCGATGAACTTTCGCTTTGCGTCGTCCTCCTCCTCGCGACCCCCTCCTCCTTTCTCTCTCCCTGAAAGGTGCCAGGGGCATCTGCGGGGTGGGCGGAAAAGCGTTTCCATCCTCCCCCCTCTTAGCCATCACGGTTATTCTCTCCTCCCCGCGCTTGTTTGTCTTCTTTCCTTCTTCCCCCCCTTGCCAGAAGAAAGCTGGTCGGCGTAGGGGTCAGGACTAGGGGTCGGTCGGCTGGTCAGAGTAGGGGTCAGTCGGCTGCAACAGGGGGGCGTGGGCGCCCAATCGGGACGTCGCTGCGCGCGAGGGCGCCCCGCGAGTGCGCGCGCGGCGGCGTCCAGGTCGGACGGGGACAAGGAGAAAGAAAAACAACTGGAGAGGATAGAGGGGAGGCGAGGGGGGGCATGTCGAGGAGGAGGGAAGGGGAGGAGGGGGGGAAGGTGGGAGGGGATGAATTAGGGGGCGCGCGTGCGTGGTGGCACGTGGTTCTACAGCGCGCGTGGCGACAATAGGGTTGTGCGCCGTGTGTGGCGGCGCTTGCGCGTGGCGGCAGTCGGTGCCATTTTCCCGTCGTCGGTGGGCCCTCGCGGCGGCGCCTGGGTCGGGCCGGGGCGGGGTGGATGAATAAGCGGAAAAGTGACGGGGGAAAAGCGGGCGAGGAGGGCAAACGGGAACAGTAGGAGGACGACGACGGCGGGCATGGCGGTGCGCGTCCAACTCAAAGGCCCAAGTCCACGACGTTCGGTGGCGTCGCGTTGGCGCCGCGCCCTGTTTCCAGACCCCAGATGCACAGATAAGCTGAACATGTGTTTTCTTATTCGCCCCGTGACCCCCCCTCTAGTAACAGACCCACGGTGGATCCCAAGTCAGAACGCGCCCCGTGGAGAGGTCCGGGGAGTAGCCGTATCGGTACTGTTCGGTTTCCCCATGTGGTATTCCCCCTTCTTGGGCGCGTGTTAACTTTCAACTGAAGTTCCCCCCCACGGTGTTTCGTCAGAGTGTTCAGGCTCGAGTTGCGTTGTTGCTTTCAGACAACCGCAACAAACGCTTCCGCCCGATACAGATTCGCAGCTCCTTCAGGAATCGCGCAATCGCGCTTCTGATTCAGGCGTCCTTTAGTTCACCCAGGTATCGCACTCTCGTTTGCGTTGCGGCGCTGCGCTCTCGATTACCAAGGACGGCGTTCTCGCACAAGCCGTTTTCACAACCTACTCAGGACACGTGCTCTCGCAACTGAGGAAGTTTATGACACTCGCAGCGTGTGGAGTTCGCTCCAGTGCCCCGCCCGCCCGACCTGCCTGGTCAGGGCCCGCCCGCCCGCCCGTTAGGGCACGCCCGCCCGACCTGCCCCTTCGAGTTCGCCCGGCAGACGTACCAGTCAGTTGCCGCCCACCCAAACCATCCCAACCCAGCCTTCCCTTTCCAATGGGGGGGTCGGGGAACATGGGAAACACATACGAAGCCCGTACCCCCCCCCAACCCGAAATTCGGGTCTTCAGGTTGGGTGTGGGTGGTCTGGTAGGTAGTCAATCAGGGTTCGCTCGTTCGCCTTGGGAGCCCCCCCCGCCCATTTCAATGGCCCGCCCGACCCGCGCGTTAAGGTCCGCCCGCCCGAGCCGCTCGCCCGCCCGCCCGCCCCGCCCGAAGGGTCCGCTCGCACGACCCGCCAGTTAGGGCCAGCCCGCTCGACCCGCCCGTCAGGGTCCGCTTACCAAATGTATGGCTCTTCTTCTCCCGCTCCTCCTACTGGTTCTCTTCGGCCTCAACTCTCCTCCCTCTTGCCTCCCTTCTTTCTCCTTTTTTGCTCCTTTCCCCGCTCTCTCCCTTTCCCTCTCCCCCGTTATCCTCCTATGTCAGGGACCGCGCCAAATACAGGTGGCAGACAATGCGTAATTCTCCAGCCGTATTACATATATGTATGCATACAGGTATAGGTTTGCACATATGTGTATACACATATGTACGTACTCACCCGTAGCCATTTTGGCTCAAGCCAGGCTTGCCATTGGTTGCGCCAATTCGCCTGCCCGCTGTTCATGATGCCTCCCATCTTGGCTCGATCCTGAGAAGATGGTGGGCCCTGCCTCGCTCTTCCGCGGTGCTGCTGCTGTCCTGTCGCTCGGCGCCCGCTGCTTCCTCGTGTGTGCGCAGATCACGTTGCACTTCGTCCTGGTCCGCCTACACGGGTGTGAGTTCGCGGCGACCCCGCACGCTATCAACTCGATCTCGTTCCTGTGGCTGGTGCGGTTTCTGCGGCGCCTCAACGCTGCTGCGAACCAGGCGAAACATGCGAATTTCTTATCGTGCATCCCTTCTTTCTGGAGACGTGCGGAGCGGCCTCGTCGGAGGGCACCGCGGAGTGAGGAGAGTTTGGAATTCTATGACTGTGTGGAGGAGACTTTCACGCTGTGCCTGGCAGACCTTCTCCCTGAGAGGGCTTATTGCAATCGAGTGCCAACTTACTTGAATGAATTGTTTCAATTTGACGCTGCTGCTGGAGGTTTTAGCTCTGATGCACCTGCGTTTACCCCCGTGCGGTCAGAGGAAGCACTGCGGCAACAGCTTTCGGCTGCTCAATCTCTCATCGATTCACAGAATTTTGCCATTGCGCTGTTGCAAAAAAGGTTGGGAGAGACGGCGCAGATTCCCTTTCCTGAGCCTCCTGCGAGCGCACTTGCTGAATTCGACGCTCGCATCGCTGGCTTGGCAAAGAGCTTGGGCAGAGCTGTCAACGACTCCTTGGACCTGCGTCTTCCCTCCAAGCTGAAGGCATTGGGCTTTACGTCTTTCGCGGATAGGTAATCTCTTGTGCAGGAGAAGCTACAAAAGCATCTGAAAGCGCTGGAGAAGGCGCTTCCGACTACCGTGGACGCAGCGCTGGATGCATGTAAGCTCACCGTCGTGGAGGATCTTATGTCGAGTCTCACTCCGGCTTTGACTGTTCTGGACCGCTCGCTGCGCCACGACCTCCTCGAGCTCCGGCAGGACCTGGAAGGCCAACTGCAGGCATTCAATTCTAGGCCCTGTGATTCCGACGCGCCGAAAGTGGACGCTAAGCTGTTCGCCGCGCCTCCCGCTCCTGAGGGTGCGGTGCTACCTACTGCAACTCCTCTCGGCGTTGTGTTCGAGGCTGGTGAGTTGGTCATTGCCCATGGTCTGGCGTCCAGCGGGCTCAACGGGCACGTGGGCAGAGTGCGCGGACATCAAGGGGACCGAGTCCAAGTCGAGTTCCCTGGAGTGAACGGCATCAAGCTGATCAAGCCGACGAATCTTCGCCACGACGTGGACGAAGTGCTGGACGAGCTCGACGGATGTCTGGGACAGCCTTCGTCTTCTGGTGCCTCATCGTCGACTCCTACCTCGGGCGGGCATCCTGGTGGCCCTAAACTACCAGGGGGAACTTCTACGATAACCTATGAGCAGGCTGCCGCCCGCTCCCGGTAAGCTAGACAGACTCTTCCAGGTACGAGTGACATATGTACGTATTCACACGCATACAACATGTTTTCAATGTCAAGGTGTGTATATATTGGCATGTAGGTCTGCATACTCTAGATGCTCTAACTTCTTCTTAAACACAAGTAGATCGGTATATATATACACATGTGTGTACAGGTGTAGCTTCACATCTGTTCCAAAGGGGATGCGACCGCATACGACAAGGGCGGGCACCGAGGGTTTGTTGGTACACATGTTGAGTAGAACGCCAGCAACACGGAATACGCATTACTACGCTGTGTTGTTGTTGTTGTTGTTGTTGTTCGTGATGATGGGGATGATTGTGGCGATGGGCTGGTGGTGGTGATGGTGTTGATGATGGTGATGCTGCTGCTGGTGATGACGATGATGATAATCATGGTGATGCTTGTGCGGATGCTGATGTTGATAATGATGCTACTGAAGATGATGAGGATGATGATGATGATGTTGATGCGGATGTTGATGACTATGGTTATGCCAGCTTCGTGGAGATGGGCGACATGGAAGGAGTGGATGAGCAGGCGGACAAGAGGGAGGAGTGATTCAGAGTTGTGCACGCACATTCTGTGGCCCGAGGTGGCGAACATCCTCCCTAATGTCATCACGTACACCGCGCTGATCAGCGCCTGCGAAGTAGGCCCGCCGAACCACATTGGGTTTTCGGCGCCTTGTTGCCTCCGCCGAGACTCCATTGAAGAGGAAGAGGTGCGAGGAGGAATGACGCTCCACTAGGTAACGCACGCTAGATACGGCATCTCCTTCGCTGAGGGTCCAAGCTCTGGTCGCAGAGCTGTAGTGCACAGAGAAGACAGACCACATGAAATTCGTTGGGTAACCTCCGTACATGGGGCTGACAGCTGCCGGTTGACGTTTCACGAATTGAGAGGGTGACCAGAGCATTGAGGTGAACGAGAACATCAACACACCAGATGTATTTTCAGGCCGACGATTTAGGAGGGGGGATGCCGTACGACACCAAACGATCAATGCCGATAAGTGGGGGTGAACCCAGCACTTCGTGACAGGGGCAATAATGCAACAGGGGGAATTGGGGCACACATGAAGCAGGGAAAATTGGGAAATCTCTCGGATCAGCCAGAATAGCGCGCGTCGTTCGCCTCTGGAGAGTGTTGGCTTTTCTCCCAGAGATGGTGGGACTTTTCTTCGTCGAGCGTAGCAAGTTCTAGCGTATGGGGGATGAGAAGGAGGCGGTGGAGCAGGAAGTGGAGCAGCAGCGGGAGGATGATGAGCAGGAGAAGGAGGAGGAGGAGGAGGATAAGGGGGAGAAGGATTCTTGTGGAGCTTGTGGGGGCTTCTGCATGTCGAGTGTTTCATACGTTACGGAGGGAAGAAGGGAGAACGAGCAGCGGCATGGAGGATAGAAGGAAGAGGAGGATGAGGACGAGGAGAAAGAGCAGGAGGATAAGGATTGGTGATGGTGATGATTACGATGATCAGGATGATGCCGCTGATGATGAGGGTGAGGGTGATGCTGATGCTGTGAGGGTGAGGGTGATGGTGATGCTGATGCTGGTGGTGATGCTGATGCTGCTGCTAATGATGACGATACTAATAATGTAGATGATGATGCTGGTGAGGATGAGGATGCTGATGCTGCTGATTTATGTTGATAATGCTGCTGCTGATAATGATGATGATGATGCTGCTGATGCTGATGGTGATGATGATGATGCTGATGCTGATGCTTGTGATGATGATGATGATGATGATGATGATGATGATGATGATGATGATGATGAGGATTATGATGATGATGGTGACGATGATCATGATGCTGATGCTGATGATGCTGCTGATGATGCTGATGCTGATGCTGATGCTGATGATGATGATGATGATGATGATGATGATGATGTTGATGATGACGATAATGATTTGGAGGAGGAGCAGGAGGAAGAGGAGCCTGGGGAAGGAGAGAGGGTGGAGGAGCGGGGGCCGTGCCTGTGGAGGCGCTCCCACCCGGAGGCCTCCTTCCCCTCCCTCTCCCTCTCCGCCGCTCCGCCTCGGCAGGCCGGACGCCTCGGCCCCTCCCTCTCTTCCCCTCGTCTCCGCCCTCTCCCCTGCTCGCCCCCTTCCATCCTCCTCTCCCCCCTTCGTCCTGCCTTCTCCCCCCCGATCCCCTGCCCTGCCCCCTCGCCCTCAGCCTCGCCCCCTCCCCCGATCCACCCTCCCTCCTCTCCTTCCTCTCTCTCTCTCTCTCTCTCCCCCTATTTTTCTCTCTCTCTCTCTCTCTCTCTCCCTCTCTCTCTCTCATTCTCTCTCTCTCTCTCTCTCTCTCTCTCCCCCCAAACCTCCCCTTGCATTTGCCCTTCCTCCCGCGCTCCTGCCCCTCTTTTTCTCCCCCCCCTCCCTCCCCGTCCCCTCTCCCCCCAATGCCCGCTCTCTCTCTCTCTCTCTCTCTTCCCAGACATGCGATGTCCGGATTTCTTCAAAACGGGGTCTCTGGAAGTCCCGACCTTTTCCCTGGGACCGCTTGTGAAGGTCTGAGTCGTTTCTTGACGGTCCCGAGGCCCACTAAGAGCCTCCAGAGGCCCAAAACGGTCAAGAATTTCTTGTCCTGATTTGTGTCAGGTCGGAAGCATGTCTGGCTCAGCCACGCGCAAGAGGGTGGTCGAGGGATGGGGAGAGGGTTTCTTAGAATCACCCCTGCTTCTGAGAAGGCGCAGGCCTTCTCCATAAATGT